CACCAGTGAGTGCAATGAAAAGAACTATTCAACGAAAAAAGGAAAAGACAGAAGGAATTCCTGCGATTCCAAATTCTCTGCTTCAATTAGTTATTCCACAGGAATATACACTGACAAGCAGTGGTCAGTTATTTTTAATGTACGACAGCGGCCCATCAGAAGATCGATTATTAATGTTTACAACAACAAGAAATCTTGACTACATATTGGAGTGTGAACACTGGTACGGAGATGGAACTTTTTCAACAGCCCATAATATGTTTTTCCAAATATATACAATCCATGGCGTCAAATATTCAAATACCATTCCAACAGTATATGCAATTCTGCCGAATAAAAGAGAAGAAAGCCCTAGACGTTTATATGCAGCATTAAAAAATTTTAAACCTGAACTTTGCCCTACATCTTTTTTAATGGATTTCGAAAAAGCAGCGATGAATGCGGTACGAAGTGAATTCCCTAATACTCAAATTCGTGAATGCTTTTTTTATTTTTCTCAGTGTATATGGAGACAAATCCAGAATACCGGATTTCAGAGGCGATATGTGGAAAAAGAAGTATTTTCATCAAATTTGCGACTTCTGGCTGCACTTGCTTATGTTCCTGAAGACGATGTAGAGAGTGCTTTTGATTTATTATTGGAAAGTGCAGAAAACGAGCAGATTTAATAAACTATTTTGAAGACACGTGGATTGGTAGATTAGACAGAAGAGGAAGAAGACGGTTACCAAAATTTCCTATATCTTCTTGGAATTGTTACAATGCAGCCAGAGAGGGAATTGCTAGAAATGCAGTTGAAGGATGGCATAACAGTTTCAGTTCAATTGTTTCCATTGCACATCCCAACATTTGGAGGCTAATTAAGGCTTTACAAAAGGAGGAAAGCCTTAACAAATTGAAAATTGAGCAAATTGTGGCAGGTAATGAAATTACTAAAAAAAAAAATTACAAAGATTCTGCACGTCGTTTAAAACTACTTACAGAATCCTACGACGCTCGTAATACCATCACTGAGGAAAACGCTTCAGTAAGAAAGTGTTACTACTAAAAAGTTTACTATGGCTGTAAAACTTTTTACTGCTACTGTTAGATTGTCTAACAACAACTGTTAGATGTGTTACTAGGACTGTAAACTAAGTTTTACAGTCCAAATTCTTACCGTGGCAGTAATATTTTTTTACTACTCCAGTTAGAAATAGAATTACTATTATTCGTATTACCATCATAGTAAACCTTTCTTACTGAATCTGTAATTTGTATTACTACCGCAGTAAGACCTTGACTAGTAACATTTTTATAACTACCACCGTAAAACTAGCATACTGAATCTGCAAAATAGTAATATTTTTCTAACAACCATGGTAAGACAGGTTAACAACAAATGTACCGAACCGTTACGATTAATGACGAAGAGCTTCGATCATAGCCTTTTGCACAGGCGTTGACTTGAGTCAACGATAATCACAGAAGCAGTCAACACGTTCAATCGTCGCATCGTGAGCTTAGGTCATAGCGTGCATGAAGAAGTGCGAAGTGCTGCGTAATTTCTATCTGGGGGTATAAATGGTATAATATTGAATATGGAATATTGTGCATTCTTAACGGAGTGGGGGTTTTCGGACCTAGTTCATAGTTTCGTTGGTAAGTAATTCGAAATATTATACTTATCTAAATATAGTACCTGTATCCATTTTTATTTATACATTAGTAAAAAAGGCGGGAAATGCATAATGCATGAATGCTTTTATTTCGAATTGAGAATGAGCTATACGGTCTAGAAATGTTTTAACTGCACCGGAGCATATTCGCAGTATCAAAAATGTGATATTTCCAAGAGAAAGTTTTTAGATTAAAATTTATTAAAAATGTTTGGTTAAGATTCACAGAGCAATAAATTTGTTAGATTTAAAAGAAAGCTGTGTTCAATGAGACATAGCGATAGCGATACCAATCGTATCGATCCATGTCATTTTCGAGCGTTTCATTTCTACTCTAGTCTCTAACTTTCTGCTGCGATCGCGAAATTTGAGCGGGAAAGCTCATAAAAACAACTTAAAACTCCTAAAACCTATTGATATTTGAGATTACTTATAAAAAAATATATCTTGAACAACCTGGTTATGCTTTATATAGTGATAAAAATCATGAAAAAAAACCTTAAATATAAAAATATTGTAGATTGTTGATCAAAACACTTAAGTGACAATAAACAAGTTCACTTTCAGTTGCAAATACTACGTTTCATTAAACTTGAATTGTCGTTCCACACAAATTTAATTTTTATTTTTAGATGAGGGCATTGATGATAATTCCTTCCAATTATTAGATGAAGAAAGCATAAGGCATCTTATTTTAAGAAAAAATTCGAGGAATTTTGTATGACCAAAGAAAATACCATGGGAAAATTGATATTGTTTTATTATCCATATTTGACATTTATATCTCGAATGGTTTTCGATTAAACTTCCGTTCCTGCAGCTTTGGATAAAAAATAAATGTTTTTTTGTACCTTATAAAAATTATAAAAACATTTTAGCTCTGCTGTGCTATGCTGATTTTAAAATAAACAATTTTTATTTTTTTTTTTATTTTGTCAATCCTATTATGAAAAATTGACCGAAGATTTTCCAGAGGAAAAAATTAAGCAAATCGATTTATTTAGCTGAAATTGATTTAATTTTGTGTAAATATTGTTCTTTGAAGCGAAAGATAAAAGAGTTTATTTTTCGAGTTCATGAGAAAAATATTTACCTTTGTTAAACCTATTTCAGCCTTTAATATAAATTATATTTTGGTAAAACATTTTTACCATGATAGTAAGACGTTATTACTGTAACAGTAAACCCGTTTTACTGTAGTAGTAATCTATTATTACTGTAACTGTACAACAATTTTACTATAGTGGCAAAATATTATACCTGTAGCAGTGAAACAGTTTTACTAAATTGGTAAGACATTATTACTGTAACAGTAATACCGTTTTACTGTAGTAGTAAGATAATATTACTGTTACAGTACAGCAGTTTTACTAGAGTGGTTAGATATTATTACTCTAACAGTGAAACCGTTTTACAAGTGGTAAGAAATTATTACTGCAGCACTAGAGCAGATTTACCAAAGCAGTAAGACAGTATTACTGCAGCATTACAACTAGATGTTACGTATGGTAATCCTAGATATTGGTGGTAGTTATACAATTTTACTGTAGCCGTAAGAAAAAATTACTACCTCTGTAATAATATTTGACCAGAGCTGTAACATAGTTTTACTGCCGCAGTCGAATAAATTCTTAGTAATCCAAATATTAGCAAATCTTGTATTACTGTCACGGTAAAATCTTCTAGCTGAGGCATATTTAATTAATTTTTTCTTACTGCCACGGTAAGAATTTTTTTTTCGGTGATGGAATATCTTCGAGGAATTGCGCATAATTTTCGAATGCAAGTCTAAATTATTTAATATTAATATATTATATTAATTCAATTTAAAATGTAATAACTAGCAACTAAAATTTTTTATAATATATTTTTTTTCAATATACCTACTTGTTTTTTATTACCTATACTAAAAAATATATAAAATAAAATTTTGATTATAATAAAAAAAATCTGATGTGTCCAACACATGACTTTCCTATCTAGTTATTATAGGCATTTTCCGGTTATTTTGTACAACCTATTGCAGCATCTCTATAAATGTTTAGAGGATAAACTAAATATATACATTTTACACATACATCTACCTCGAAACATTTTTCTATAGATATTCATTGAAAACGAAAATACAGAAAAATTTAAATTTAGCACTTTTCCATTACGGACCATTTTAGAAAAATCATGTATAAACAAAAATTATAGAAATCGATATCGCAAACAACTTTTAGTTCAACAATTTTCATAAAAATCAGAATTTTGCACATTTTGTCAAATTTCTCGAATACGGACCATTTCAGGAAATTTTGACATAAAACAAAAATTATAGATAATAATATTAGAAGTAACTTTTATTTGAACAATTTTCTTCTCCAAACATAAATAACATATATATTCCATAAAATATAAAAACGGCCTCCCATAAAGTACCCCCCCAGATGTTCCAACTTTGTCCAAAATCTAATCATTTCACGTCAGGCCGAAATAAACCTTAAGTTTAAAATTTAATGTTTTTTCCTTTATCCGTTTTTGAGTTTTCTTCAAATTTCGAAATTTACACATTTTCTCAAATATCTCGAATACGGTCCATTTTAGAGAAATTATGTATAGGACAAAAATTATAGAGAATTATATTATAAACAACTTTTATTTGAACAATTTTTATAAAAAATTATGTTTTTTACATTTTGTCAAATTTCTCGAATACGGACCATTTTAGGAAAATACATACAATACAATATATTAGAAGTAACTTTTATTTGAAGAATTTTCTTCTCCAAACGTAAATAACAGATATATTCTATAAAATATAAAAATGACCACCTATAAAGTACCCCCCCCCAGATGTTCCGACACTGCCCAAAATCTAATCATCTCATTGGACGCTGAAACAAAGCTTAAGTTTAAAATTTGGTGTTTTTCTGTGTATCGGTTCATGAGTTATGCGTTATACAGACACACACACACACACACACACACAGACACACACACAGACACACACACAGACATCATCGCGAAAATAGTCAAAACGGATTCAGGGGACCTCAAAACGTAAAAATCCGTCGAAAACTCGAGGTCGAAAAAAATCATGATTCCTATACTTTCCTTATATCTGTATACAGATAGGAAAGTAAAAATAAAATAAACCATAAAATGAATTCTAAAAAATGGCTGGCGACAAATTGTCGTGGCGGTGAATCGTCGTAGCGGTGAATCGTCTTACGATGAAATGTCGGCTCTGAATTTTTGCGCGATGAATTGACGTAGATCCCTTTTTTCAGAGACCTGGTTTTCTGTCGTGTTTTAGTAATCGCATAAAGTTTTTTACATATTTTATCTTTCGTAAATTCATCCAAGACTCAAACATTTGGAACTGCTTGTCGTTAGCATCTCGGGACTTTCTGGAAAAATCTGCTTCGCTGCTTCTTCCGCTTCCTCAGAAACGTAATTTTCATCGGTTTCCTCCATTTTCTCTATGTTGTTTTCTTCCAAAAAACTTTCCTTTTCTGCAGGGAAAACTGACAAATGACAAAATTTATTCATAACAATGTATCATGCCCGTGGTAATCAAACAAGCACCCTACTTTGACCAAAATGTAAAAAAGTCAGTGTCAAGTCATTCTGACATTTATAGGGTACTGAGGCGCAAGTAGCTTTGATCACAAAACTATTAATTACTATATCATAAAAAAATTATTTCTTCCACTTGTTTGTTGGATAAAACATTGTATGCCACTCGTGTTATGTTTCCTAAGTCACTTAAGAATTTATAAATCTTTCTCGCGTGACTTATTCTCAACATAACACACTAGTACCATAAATAACTATTATATGAATTCTCCAAGTTAAATTACTATCTAACATAACTCCAAGCAACTTGGTACTAATGCAATTTTTAAAATCGGTAACCCAAGAAAACTGCAATTCCTGAAATTTATTTTGATTTAACATAAGATTGTCAGCTAAGAACCAATGTTCAGCTTTAGCGATAATAGTTTCTGCAGTATTTTTCAATTCAGTTTCATTTTTTGCAGAGTATATAAAAGTGGTGTCATCTGCAAATAGAACAGATTTAAAAGGACCCATATAATAACTTAAATCGATAGTATATATAATAAATATAAATGGTCCTAAGACAGAGCCCTGCAGAACTCCATGCTTAACGGAACTAAAATTTGACTTTTGGTTCTGAAATGTTACAGTCTGATAGCGTCCAGATAAATAAGATTCTAAAAGTTTTAGCGCACTTCCTCGGACAACATAGCAATTTAACTTCTCAATCAAGATGTCATGAGTAATCTGTGTTGCCAACCTTTAAAAATCAAATTTCCCTCAAGCAAGTCCAAAAATTCTCTTTAAAAAAAAAAAATCCCACAAATGCATAAAATACTGACAAAACGTGATAATAGAAGTCTTTAGTATATGGTAGATAAAATTTACGAAAAAATTCTGAAATGCGATATTATGCTCTGCAAAAAATGCAGATATTGCTATTTCTAGGGGTTTTACTTGATCATTGTGTTGATCTGGGGCTCTGACAAATGTGGAAACACTGGGTATACTTCTTACAGGACTCATTTTTTTAATGTGTTTCTGCCCTTTTGCATGCTTAACTAGCTCGGATTCTCCGCATACAAGAGTGGTGTTACAGACGGAACATCTTATGAGATTAAAAATTTAATATTAGAAATCAAATTTTGAACCATATTATTTACCTGCACTTTTCTAAATTTCCTTTTATTGAGGTCAACCAATTTTTATAGAGAGGATTATCTAGCAATGCATTTTGAAACACTTTGGCTTTATTTCTGTATTTCTTTTTGGGGGGTCCATCGTTTTCAACTGATGAACTAGACATTTCAAAGTTATATTTACTCACTGACTTTCGCACCAACTAGTTCAATCAGAAATTTACAAAATAAACTCGTTCTTGGGTATTGAAGTATTATTACAGATAAACTACCTAACATTACCCTTACAGTGGGTACAGTGACAACAAAACAAAACAAATTGTATTTATATTTCGGTGAATTCCCTAAACCTCAAACTCGATTCATTCCGAAGCTAGTCACTGGTCACTATAACAGGAGCGAGTTCAGATAATACGTTGGACGCGCCAAATAATTGGTACATCTTTATCTAAAGAAACACAAATAACAAGGACAGGAATATTACCCGGGTACGCCCGGAGTATCACCTGAAATCGCTCCAGGGTGCGCTCGCGAACGTGCCTCGAAACGCATTTGAATCATTGAAATTTTTGAGTGCGTTCGAAACTAGCACCTTCACGATGAAAATGGACCGTGAATGCGTTCTCTCTTTATCAGTACTCCTGCCAAAATAATACTATCTCTGTTGCCAACAGAATATTTTTGAGTTTTTTGTGGATAGATGCGATTAATTATGAAGAAGAAATATCCCACGAATATTGCAATTTTGGTAAAAATTTCCCTTTTCCCTTTGATGTCGCTAATTTCCCACGAATCGGGAAATTTCCCACGAGTTGGCATCACTGTGAGTAATGCAGTCGAAAGCTTTCGACAGGTCGCAAAGAGTAACTGCTGTGTGACTACCTTGCTCAAGGCCAGACACCACTCCATAAACAACATGTATTACAGCTTGAACCGTTGATTTGTTAATTCGAAAACCATATTGAGTGTCACTAAAATAGTTTCTTGAATGAAAATAACTATTAAGACGTGATTTAATGATTTTTTCAACGATATTGCTAAATGTACATAAAACTAAAATTGGTCGATAGTTTTGAAAGAGTAAAACCAAATTTGGTAGATTTTCACAATTTTATTTTAACAAATAAATTTTTTTTTTTTTTTTAAAAACTCACTAACATGACATATGTTTCGAAGTACAACTTCTTTTTCAAATGTGACTATTTACAATTCGGTATCCAATATACCAATACCAATAAAAACTCCCAGGCCATATATTTTGGTAAGTAATAGAGATATTTTAATTCTGTAAAATCCAGTTCACAGAGCACTAAAAGAGCTTCAGTTTTAGATATAAATTGATTTTAAATAGGTCAATATGTAGATGGCGCTGCGCTCAATAATTATTTTTCGATGGGAGGAACTTTCTTGTGTAGCGCATCTTATAAAAAATGCATTTTTAAGCAAATTTTGTTCTATGAACTAATTCGATAAATCTAGCAATTTTTGATATACAGAGTGGGTCATTCAAAACAGTTTCATCCTGTTTTTCGGCATTAATCATTGTATTTTTGGAAAATGCTAAAACAGGTCGATTTTTATTCCAAATTAAAGACATTTATACAATATAGACATATGTCATGTGTCAACCCCCTCCCTTGTACTTCTCCACACCTTAATTTTAAATAGGTAATGTACCATGTATGGCTCATCATTGAAAAGGTAATTTAATGGGGGATTCAGAAATCTGTAAATTACGTTACTTAAATTTTACCGCCCTCCAGCGGGATAAAAAACTACTACGTATTATAGAGTGTGATACTACAATGTATAGTACATCATTAAAAAGGTAATTTTATGGGGAATTTAGAAATATGACTGTTCATTGTGATACTTTTAATTGTACCGCCTTCTATCGGGATAAAAAACTACGTATTTTAAAGTGTGACACCTTATTTGAAAGCAAATTTAATTACTAATTCAATGTACCACATAACATTAATTAATAACATAATATTAATATAAATATCCACATTGCTCTTGCAATAGTTTAAAAATTAGTCATGCATTATTTTAAACATTATTGCTAATTTTATTTTGTTGCAAGTGTAATATGGAAATATTTATATTAATGTTATGTGGCGTATTGAATTAGTATTTAAATTAGATTAAATACGTTACAGATTTTTTTATGCCGATAGAGGGCGCTAAAATTAAAAGTTTCGCAATAAACTGTCATATTTCTGACTTCTCCATAAAATATCCTTTTTAATGATGTGCCGCACATGGTACATTCCTTATTTAAAATTAAGGGGTTGGAGAAGTGGAAGGGAGGGGGTTGACACATGACAGATGTCTGTATTGCAAAAATGTGTTTAATTTAGAATAAAAATCGACCTGTTTTAGCATTTTCCATAAATACAATGATTAATGCCGAAAAACAGGATAAAACTGTTTTGAATGACCTACTCTGTATATCAAAAATGGCTAGATTTATCGAATTAGTTCATAGAACAAAATTTACTTAAAAATGTATTTTTTACAAGATGCGCTACATAAGAAAGGTCCTTCCATCGAAAAATAATTATTAAGCGCAGCGCCATCTACATATTGACCTATTTAAAATCAATTTATATCTAAAACTGAAGATCTCTTAGCGCTCTATGAACTGGCTTTTACAGAATTAAAATATCTCTATTACTTACCAAAATATCCGGCCTGGGAGTTTTTATTGGTACACCCTGTATATACGAAATAATTTAACAAAACAAAGTACTTAAGAAAACATCAATAACATTACAAAATAAACTAACTATTTAAAGTAAATAAGGGTACTTAGGTAATTATAATATCCATCAGATAACAATAAGATAGCCCATTACCGGGATTATCTCACAGAAAACTGGGAAAGAGATTTAATAAGGGTGAATTATTAATATCTAATTGATCATTTAGTAAGTTATCTGAATTTTTAAATCTATTTATTTCAAGTGTTTCTAAATGGTTTAATTTAAGGCTCTTATTTTCTACATGTAAAATTTCAAAGTTGTCTGTAAAAGAATGATTTTCAGCTAAAATATGATTTGAGTAAGTAGAATTATTTTTGTTTTTTGTATAGCTATTATAATGTTCGGAATAGCGTTTTTTGAAAGTACGGCCTGTTTGACCAATATACAATTTTGGACAACTACCACAATTTAATTTATATACCCCCGATTTATTATTAGGATTAATTTTACCCTTATTGTTTTTAATATACTTCCCAAGCGTATTATTGGTTTTAAAAGCTACGTTAATATTTTGGTTTTTTAAATATGATGATACCTTTTCACTAGGAGCTCCTATATATGTAAGACTCTTATATCTGCAATTTGGATCTTTAATTATGGGATAAACTTGTTGAATAGCCTGTTTAAAAAGTTTTTTCTCTAAAATGTTGTCTACTAACTTTGAATTAAAATTATTATTTACTGCGATTTGTTTAATGATATTTAATTTTTTTGTGAAGTTCTCTTTGGTAAGGGGAATATTAACTAATCTATGGATCATACTGTTGTATGCTGCCAGCTTTTGTTTGTATGGATGAGATGAACTATTATTTATTGTAATATCCGTATGTGATGGCTTATGAAATATCCCAAAACTATGGCCTTTATTATTTTTAATAATATTTAAGTCTAAAAAATTAATTGAATTATCCTTCTCTGTTTCCATAGTAAATTTAATATTAGGGTGTATAGTATTGATAAAAACTAATAAAGAATTTAACTGTCTACTAGTACCAGTAAAAGCAGTCAATATATCATCAACATATCTATGCCAATACAGACAATGTT